CAAACCTGTCAAACCTCACAGTAATTTAAATTTATGGTATTTTACACGACTATAATACATGATCATCCTGAAACCTCCTAAATCATTCCAAATAACCCCTTTTAAGGTAATTGGCAATAATGGACAAAGCTTCTACACTAGATTCCTTCACATGTTTCGGGTGGAGATTCTACTACCTGCTTGTTTCCATGGAGATGTCATTGCTTTGCTTGAAATATTCCACAGAATGGTATTAAACTAATCAATCTTGGATGTATCCAGTTACAGTTGTTTCAATTGCTGCAACAAATCTCAAAAAACAGTGTTCTTATGTGAAAAGGGCTTACCTCTCCATAGATCTGACCTGTAACTTGGACTTGGTGTTTAGTTTATTTTAGTCAAAGCAATGAAGCTCAACAGTGACCACACGCTCTTGTTCTGGAAATACATTTTACATTCATTTTTCTCATAGATTTTTCTTGGGTTCTTTTTAAAGACAATACAGTATTAGATATACAGTATTTCCCTTGTTGACATGTTTAATTGCCCGTGGGTTTAGTGTCTTTGGGCAAAATTTGAGGTATTTGCAATGAAAACTGTGTGAGATGTCCTGAGTGTAAGAGAATTTAAATAATTTTTTTTCTCCATGTAGTACATCTCTCAGTTTAACACTGACTCACTGGAGCTATAGTAACACAATCATCTTCTCTTGGCATACCACTGGCATACCATTTCATATTCTCACCACACTTGCTTTATAAACCTTCTCCTTTGGAAGCATAGTCAAGGGGCTTGAACACTCAAAGATCACACTATGTTCACTTTTGAAATCGTACTATGTTGACTTTTCAAGTCCCCCTGGGCCGTATTATTGATGGTAAATAAACTTCTCCTGCTTAAAGGGACAGTTCGGAAATTTGGACATAAGGCCTCATGTCCTAGTAAGCCAGAGTGCTAGAGACATGTGGAGACACTTTTTTTAAATATTCCATCCAGTTCTTGTATTTGGGGAGGTTGCGGTTGCTAGGATAGAGCATGGCGATGGCCATAGTTATCCTGCCACTAAAAACAATCTTACCTACTCCACAAAGCACTTGAAGCAAATCTAGACTATTGATGTAAATGTCTGTGTTGATAGAATAATGTAAAACTAACCTTGCATCGTGTGAATCGTCGCATGTTGAAGGACTATTTTCTCATATATCTGTCCACCGATGCCAAACCAGGAAGATCAGGAAGTACAACTCACTGCTGCTGCTCACATATAAATCTTCATATGCACAGTTGGTTTTATTTCTTAAATTATCCTATTGACACAGACATTCACATCGATAGTCTGGGGTTATAATTGTTTTGCCTCGGGTGCGCTGTGGAGTTGTGGGTTTTTGGTGGCAGGCTAACTATGGCCATTGACATGCGCTAGCCTAGCACCAGCGACCTCTGCAAATACAAAGACTGAATGGAATATTTTAAAAAAGTGTCTCCACACTTCACCAACACTCTGGCTCACTAGGAAATGAGGTCCTATGTCCAAAATTCTGAACTGTCCCTTTAAGCCTAAGTCTTTAACTTCTACTGTTTTTTTGGATAAGCTGAAAACTTCTGTACCACAGAGTACGCTAGTGTGTGCTTTTGTCATTCCCAGGTTTGATCCAAAATGGCTGACTTCCTGTTGAGTTAAGAAGGCCATAATATATATATATATATTTTCATGTCTTGTTGTCATTACTTACACCATTTCTGATTAGCTCTGAGCTTTTAGTCTCTGAGCAAACTTTACATATTATATATATATATATATACACACACATACACACACACATATATAATATATATATATATATATATATATATATATATATATATATATATATTATATATTTTTTTTTTTTTTTTTTTTTTTTTTTTATAATTTTTCCCAGAAAGTCTGTGGGAAAAATGTATGCGAAATTTTGTTTCAGAACAAGGGGCTGTTGAGCTCCGTAACATCTTCATGGAAACAAGCTGGAGGCATACCCTGCAAACAAAAAAGTTACACATTGCAACTTTTAACAGAAAACCAAGTAAGTTGTATAAACAGATTAACATTCTGTTTAATTTTTTTAATTGATTATTTATTAATATTATTATTTTTTTTTAACCATTCTTCTTTTAAGCCCTATTACAAACCCTGTCTCCCTCCCACTTGTGCCCATAAATAACACATAATGGCGTTGCTTGTAATGCGTTGGTGGGAGCAATTGGATTAAAAAGCTGAAGAGTGAAACAAGCCCAGATAATGTGATTAAATGTAATTAAGACATCAGAGCTACCATCCATCTCTCTCGCCAAACAAATCACAAAGACAACATAGTGAGTGCAAAGATTTTTATTCTTTTTTTTTTTTTTTCGTAATATACAGTATGTCATTATAGTGAATAAATAGTTTCATTTATATAGAGGAAAATACATCATGTGCGCCTGAGCTGTCCAGTTAAAACATTAAAATGTGTACAGTTTTTAAAGTGCATATGACAGGTTTTCATGTGTTTTGGTTTGATGGAATAGCACCTGTAGTAATTATTTATGATAGTTTACATCAAATAAAGACCGGGTATTTTACTTCTATGGGGTATTAACACATATATTTAGATCACCATGTTACCTTTTATTGTTAAAAAAAAATGCTATATTTGCCTTTCAGGTTTGTTCACATCAGGTTTCTCAAGTTGTTGTGCAAAATTTGGTACCATGTTTTTGTACATTTATGGAGAATTGTCACATGGATGCAAAGACAAGGTAGGCTTCTGGGCAGAGCATTGGACAAAACAAAGCCCAGGAGAGATCTGTAAAAACATGCAAAGATGACATCTAAAACCTCTTCAGGCATGTTTTTTACGTTATAACATGGTAGAAAGCTCACATTTTGCACAATTTTGCATAATACCCCCTAGAATTAGAATAAAAGTACAAAATTAAAGGAAGTAGAGGTGTCTAAAACTGAATAACTTTGTCATCAACGCAGGGACAATTTACGAGCAAGGAAGGCTTTTTTTCTGCCAGTTTAAACCGTAATTTAATAAAAACATATTTTAGTAAAATATTAAATGTCTTATATATTAACTATGAATTAATGAAATGAGTTGTCAAACCTGTCATATGAACTTTAAAGCTGCATTTTGTAACTTTTCTGGGGGAAGGTCCCTCAAACACTCTGCTCCTTTGAGATGTTACTGCTTTGGCTAGAATGTTTCACAGTATAGCATTAAAACTTTCTATCTTCATGGAGACTAAAACAGATCAATTTACAGGTCATATCTGTGGAGAGGCGACAACACTCACAGTCAGAATGCCTGTTTTTCTTGGTATTTTTGAGCTATAAATGCACCTGTAACTGAATGAATGTAAGGTAGATCGGAACATTCAAAGCAAAGCAACGATATATCCATAGAAACAAGAAGCAAGAAGGTGACATACCTCCCACCAAAAAGTTACACAATGCACCTTTAAGGATTGTCATACCATGCTTTAGAAGATATACAGTAGTAGTGATATAAATATTTTAATTACTCTGACAGCATTGGACAGTACATGGATTCAAGTCAGCAGGATCGTGACCATTTAAAAGAACATCTAGACAAAGAGTCCCACTCACAGATGATCAACAGATTGGTGCTTCAAGAGTCATCGGCACCTTATTTTAAATAAATGACGCATGACAAGACAGTAAGAGAATCAGAGCTAACACACAGGCCAATGGCGACCTCTACTGGCCATGCTCGAGACAGACATATTTAGATAAAGTTTTCAGAGATACAGGCAAAAATCGATCAGTGTATTAGATAAGTAGGGTTGCCAAGTAGGATTGTCAAATTAATCATTACCCACATAGTAATAGAAACTCAAGTTACAATAAAAATAATAAAAGACATTAAGGTGCACTATGTAACTTTTTGGTTGGGGGTTCCTTACCTGTTTGTTTCTATGGATATGTCATTTCTCTGCTTGGAATGTTCCACAAAATGTATTCAATTACAGGTGGTTTATTGCTCAAAAATACCTACAAAAACTGTGAGCTGACTGTGAGCGGGGTGGCCGTTCCACAGATCTGACCTGTAACTTGGTCTGGTTTGGTCTCCATGAAGATAGAAAGGTTTAATGTCATACTGTGAAACATTCCAGACAAAGGAATAACATCTCCACGAAGAAAAGGATTTGACAAACCCTCTACCAGAAAGTACACAATGTACCTTTACAAAGAACTAGACTATTTAAACAAATATTGCTACAGAAATAGGTGAAACTTGCAGATTTCCAGTTCTAGAAAAAAAAAAAAAACATACCTGTAGCTGTGTTCTGTTTCATTCACATATATTTAACACGCAAACCCTGCATATTTTGGCTGAGTTCTTCTCTCGAACTGAAAACTCCATACACCTTCACTAGAATAAGGGCCTGTTTACACGAGAACGCTTGCGGGTAAAAATGACAAAGTATTTTATCAGAAGTGCCTTTCATTTAGATGGTGATGGCGTTTTGCGGCTCAGAAATACAAAAATCTGAAACCACCCTCCAGAGTGGAAAAGTTGAATACACTCCGCCATAGCGTTTCCATCTACACTGCCCAAGATGCAAAACTTTGGTCAGATCTTCTCATGTTGCATAGGTGTTTACACCATATACATACAGTACAAAGACAGAAACCTGGCATGCATTCCCAATCGAATTCCAAACACTTTTGCGTCACCGTATGCATGCAGATTTCTTCCCGAAAATGCTTGTCTAAATGTGGAATAAAAAGTAAAGACGCAACGCCACTTTTATGTTTTCTGTTCAGACTGTCATCATATAAACACAGCTTAATTTGGACAATTTTAGGCCTGGAACTGCCAATTTCTACACAGCTACAGGTAAAAAAAATAGCACATAACTTGGAGACTACAACTACATGACATCACAAGGTGGAACAGAGCATTTTGAGCTTCAGAAATGTACACATAATAATAATAATAATAATAATAATAATAATAAGGTTACTCGAACATGTGTGAACGAAACAAAACACAACTCTAGATCTGTTTTTGAGGAGGTAAACACATTCTAACATGGCTAAAAGCTCACAAGAGTCAATTTTACATAATAAAGGACCTTTAAGGATCCCAAAATCTGTATCAGTGATAAATGTGATGTAGTCTGCAGTGTCCCTGTTGTTTAGCTAACTGCTTACTGGTTGTAGACTTACTGGCATATTTGTTTTCAGACTGTAGCAGTTCTTTCATATTTCACATTTCCACCTGTTTGACCACAAAGTAATATTAGTCAAACAATTATGGCCTACTATTAAGAGTTGAAATTTAGATGCTGTTTAAAAAAGTGTGTATAGGTCTTGTGTTAGTGGAATTAGTAGCGATTTCCTTTGTCCTATTGAAATCTCGTTAGAAATTTTAGTATTAGGTAATAAGGCCTACTTATGTATTGCAAGTCTGCTACGGAAAGTATTTCATAAATGCATACAATTAAGCTGATTTAGGTATGTACAGATATATCCAAAATGTCATTAGAATCCTTTACATATGCAAAAAAAGAAAAAAAAAAGCACAATGGTAGAAAAAAGGTTAATTTTCATAAGCTTTTAAAGTCAGTATATTTTGCCATTCATCTTCTTCAGTTCTAATATCAACAAGTTACTAAAAAGAGGGGGAAAAATACTCAATGCCACTGAATAAATGAATATTCTAAAAATATAATTTAAATATACAGAAAACATCACATGTAGAAATAGAGCAACACATCTCAGTGCAGTTATAACTTCAGTCAAACTCCACAGCTGACATATTTCATAAGTCATTTTAAAGGTGCACTGTGTAACTTTTCTGGTGAAGGGTCTGTCATCTGCTTGTTTCTATGGATATGTCATTGCTCTGCCTGAAATGCTCCACAGTATGCCATTAAACAGCTCTACCTTACATTTATTCAATTATAGATGGTTTTCTAGCTCAAAAATACTTAGAAATACAGGTATTCTGACGTGACAGAGGTCGCCTCTCCACAGATCTGACCTTGGTCTGGTTTGGTCTCCATGAAGACAGAAAACGCCATTTAAAAAAAAACATACTGTGAAACATTCCAGGCAAAGCAATAACATCTCCATGGTGAAAAAGCATTTGATGGGCCCTCAGTTGGAAAAATTACACAACGCACCTTTAAGTGTTCAATAAATATTTTCTGTGTTATAATAAATATAAAAAAATAAAGAAATTTTCTAGCATCGCGATCGAACAGTGCAGTAACTATATATCTTCTTGTTTATCTTTGGAAAACTGATCTAGTTCCAGCCACATGTTAACGCACAATCTAATTTATTTACATTGCAGTTTAAGTATTACCATTTTAAATATTATTACTATAACAACAAAAAGTCAGAAAAAAGGTCACTTGAGTCTCCACTCCATAAGAAAATAGGAAATAGTGCAAATGCTTTAGTGCACATCAAGGGACGGGTGACTGGTTTTGAAATATGAAAATACAGATAAGGCAGGCAACAGGAAGAAGTTGTTTCAAAATAGCTACCAGATATAATTTGCAATCATTAACAGATTTTTATTATTGGGTGGTACAGGTAGAGGGAGGTACCAACGAAACTGGCCACTCTTAAAAAGGTCATATTATGCTATTTTCTGATCCGTGTTAACATAGAGGTCTTTTTTTGTTTCATTCATACATGTTTAAGATACAAACCCTGCATATTTAGGATTTTTAGGAGTTCTTTCTCAAACAAAATCACTGTTCCACCTTCTGAATAATTTCAATCCTGGAATTTACAATCTCTACTGAAGAAAAGGTAAAAGGAGCAGTTAACTTGAAAACTACAGCTTCATGACATCACAAATTGGAACAGAGCATTTTGAGCTTTGGAGATGCAAACTAATAATAAAATGTGACTCAAACATATGTGAATGAAACAAAACACAACTCTAGTATGTTTTTGCAAAGGTAAAAGCATTATATTATACTTTTAAGCTCACAAGAATCTTCCATATTGCGTAATACAGGACCTTTAATCTTAATATTTACATTCTTAAAGCCACAGTATGTAACCTTTTAGCCTAATTATTTAATTTGGTTGTGTTTATTGCCCTGAAAGACTTGTGTGGTTATAACTTCAGTTTTAAATCATGCAGGTGATGTGCCACCACCAGATAGCTACATAATAGCTCCTGGATGTATACTGGTAGTTGATCTGTCTGAATGCAAATCCTTGCTAATCTTACAAACAATGAATGACTGAATCTCAAAAACACATTACAATCAGTTGGCACATGCTCATTCAGATAAATAAATAATTAATCAAGTTTAAGAATATAATGCAAAAATATATATTTTTTATCTAAAGCTGACCTCAGCATTGTACAACTCCAAGGCCTCATATGGCCCTTTGGTTGACTCTGACTGGCCCATTTAAGATCATTTAGAATTATAAAATAAATATTTTATAATTTTACCTCGTGCATGGACTAAAGCTAAATTGCTAAAAACTAAATAAGTGCCCACCTCTGATCTAAAGCTACACTGTATACTTTTTCTTTCCTACTGACTTTTTTCCCATTATACTTTCAAAAACAGATCAAATTATGGGAACAGTACAACCTAGCTCTTAGCGTAGTAACATAATCCTACTTTCTCAGTTTGAATTGTTGATTCACTTCTCATTCTCTACTCTTCACCATGGGGTCTTCCTCATGTGACAACGTTGAGAAAGAGCTAGCCTTCGCCGGTTGGTACAGCGCTACGCCAGGGCTGTCGATTAGCTTGTTTTGCCTGTTTCCTCCACTTCCTGCATTCTTCTTATCAAATTCCAAAGTTATCTCCGCCAACGTCTTTCCTTTGGTTTCCGGTAGAATCCAACCTAAAAATATGGCGGACACAACACAGACAACCAAAAAAGGCAAGAAGCAATAGTCTCCTAAGGTGTTAACAATGAATGGGAACAACATACCGACTAAAAACAAACTTGCCCACATGAACGAACCGGCAATCATGTATGCAGCCGGTCGAGCTGACTGGTCGAAAATTTCTGCTGGTAAAACTCCGGTAACTCCAGCTGGTCCCAATCCAAAACTTAAAATATACGCAAAAACACATACCATGCTTAAATACGGCATACCCGCTACGCCTTGGCTTTGAAGAACTAGCGCTATCGTGAAAATAAAGCTCCAGCAAGACATCAGGCTATACCCTCCAATCAGAAGGTAGCGTCGGCCGGCACGTTCGATCAAAAAGTTACTGAGGATTGAAGAGAGAAATTCAGATGCGCCAGTACCGATTGTGGCGTATTGGATTTTCTGTGGAGGTATGCCAGCAGCTAGGAAAATGTAGTAAGCGTAAAAGTAGATGGAGTCGTTTCCGCAAAGCATCATGGCACTACTCGCAGCCATGACAGTTCTGAGTTGAGTTCGAAGATCCTTGTCCTTGATGAGTGCCCACGGGGTTTTAGCTTTGGAATTAGTGTTGATAGCAGAAGATTTTAGCTGCTCCTTTTCTTGAATCATCTCCTCCATTTCCAGAGTAGGAAGTTTTCCGCCACGGAGTCTGACTAGCGCGTTTTCACAAGATTCCCGATCTCCTTTGTCGATGAGGAGGTACCTGGGGCTTTCAGGGAACCAGGGTAGGGTTAGAACTTGGATGAGTGATGGTACGGCATTGCTAGCTAATAAGTAAGGCCAAACCTCTTTCGCGCCAAGAATCTCGGTAAGTCCAATCACCTGGCCCAGGAATATTCCAAAGGCAGTGAAAACAGCAGATGAAAACGCAACGGCTCCTCTTAGATGCATGGGGGCGCTCTCACCAAAATACATGGGTTGGATGTTCATGCTCACACCCGAATTCATGCCAACAAGAAATCGGGCGAGTATGATCATCTCGAAGGATCCAGCCATTTGACATGTTAGCACGAGGACAGTAGCGACTACCATAAACGTATTATTGAGAAGTAATGATTTCTTCCTTCCAAAGTGGACAGCCATAGGTCCAGCAAGCAGGGCTCCAAACAATCCACCCAGAGAGAAGGCAGATACAATGAAAGTCCATACTAATGTGACTTGGGGGGTATCCAAGCCAATACCCCACCGTTCCATGTAGGTGTCATTGATGAAGGTCTGGATGTAGCTGGTGGGAGCGTTGATGATTGACAGATTGTAGCCATACTGGAAAGTTCCTCCAATAGCAGCAGAGCAAACGGTCAAAACAAGAGTGGTAGTCCATGAGGTCCTACTGGGTGCTTCATCTTCAGTAGGTTTATCTGAGGTAGACAGCATCTGAAAATCACTGGTTGGCTCCCAGACAAGATACTTGGCCTCAAATGCTCCTTTATGTCCTTAAATGACCCACAAAAGATATCGAAGAACTCAGCACAATGAAGCTCAGGCGTTTAGAGTGTATTTAAGGATGCTGGCATCTGTGTCTACAGGGCAAGGTCGTTAAGCATTCAATGAACAAGATTTAACAGCTGAAAGCTCCTCTAACCGGGACATCAGCATGCACTGTGCCACCGTTTCTGTATTCCCCCAGTTTAGTTTTCAAGGCCAAATCAAGTGTGTTACTAGGGTAAAACAAACTGTTACTGAGTCACTTTGGAATATTTATTTTGGAGCTCTGCAGTAATCATCAAAGAGCGTTCATATGGACGCATATTGCATTTTAACAATTAAGAAAGAAATGTGTGCCTTACAGCTCAAAAATAGGGAAGCAGAATTTTTCGTTACGTATCTGGGCATGCGCCTGCGCACGGCATCTCTGTGGGACTGCAGCTGTTGGCGGTGAATAAAATGTAAGTACAGTGTAATAAGCCTTTTTGGACGATGTTTTTTTGCGATTTGCTTGGACCGATGCGTGGCTAAAGGATAAATATACACTTTATTAAATGATTGCATTCGTTAGTTTTGTGCTAACAGGTTGAAGCGTTTGTATCACCATAGCTTCCACCGTACTACTGATTACACACTACACATCGCTCACATGTCATTCTGCAGCCCAGTGTGTCAATGAATGTACGTTTTCTGGACATCAGCCTGGTTTTCTCTCTTTTAATTATAATGCTTATTACAGGCTATGTAATATAATTCAGTGGATATTAATACTGGAATTACATCAGCTGCAAACATAGAGGAGAAAAAAAACCGTTGATCGGCAATATGAACTTGGATATGGAATATTTGGAACTTTTATAGATTTTTTACTCCTTAGTGTTTTAAACTGCTCCTAAACCATAAATGTTATTTTTAGGCCAGTAGACGAGGAACATGTCCAGATGATTGATTACTTGTCTAAAAGAGGACTTGGTAAAAACGATCTGAACTATTATGATCTGAGCACGTGTTTGACCCAGACCACAGTCACAAGACTTTACCTGCACTGGAGTTTATGCAAATGCAACAGTTTAAACAGAAATGATGTAAAGGCTTATTAACTCCCAAATCATCAGCTATCTCACGCCACACTTACACCCCAATACAGCTGCAGCCCTAGTTTTTTGTCACCTGTAAATACCTTGTGTGCATTTACTACTCTACAGGACATCATGCTTAGCAACTGAAAACTGATCTGTCTTCATAAATCCACTTATTTGTATTTCTAGGGCACCTTCTCCAACAAAACGAAAAGAGGATGACAAGAGTAAATCACGACCTAAAGAAAAGTCCGGCAACACTAAAGAGGGAGGGGACAAGAAGGACCGAGGCAGAGACAAGAATCGCACTCGCAGAGGAGCGTCCAGCGGCAGCAGCAGGTGAGAGAGGGGAGGATCATTATATATTTTCCTTTCTCAGATGTTCCCATGTCAGTCTCAAAATTAAATTTCTTATTAAAAAGTGAGTTGGCTTCTAGTTGTGCTCCTTATGGCATTCTCCTATCATAATAATAGGGCTGCAACTAGGGATTGGCATGATTAATCGATTAATCGATAATTGATCATTAAGAATTTCATCGATTACGTTAATTTTAATCGACAAACTGAATGTAGGTTGCTGTGCATAGTGTGACCAAACAGGGGTTCGTACATGTGTCTCTCTCCACTCAGAAGGAGCGAGCAAACAGAAACATTCGGTCAGTCTGCAACGTACCGAAGCACAAATGCGTGTTTAACGATGACTTGTACAAGAAATTCCACGCTTTCCGTTGCGCTCGGGACAAGTGGGAGGCTATGTGCACAGTGTACAAAGCAGGACCATATGTTTCGGTGTCCAGTGGGAAAAAGCTTTGCCAGGTGAGAGTCGCGCAATGTCGATGACGAGGCCCCACCTCCAACTCCCCGTACGGTGTCCTGGTTTTGACAAACGCAAATATGGTCACACTAACCTGTATTCCACTGAATTGTGTCTTTTAATCCGACAGAAATTGACCGCATCAGCGACACAGGAGCTGTAGTTTTATCTTCGCTTAGTTTACGCAAATTAGCGATGCGGTTTTAGGTTTCGTTTCTGTGAGAGTTGTGCAAAACTGCGTTGAACATATTATAATGTCAAACGGGCTGATGTGGCTCTAGAGTCGTTACGGTTTATATGTCGTAAAGTTGAATTTATTTATGCAGATTGGTTGTGCAGATAGTAATAATAATGATGATAATTTTAATATAAAAATGTTAATAATTAATCGATAAATAATCGTTAATTCTTCCGACGATCGATTAAGAAAATTTCATTGTATGCCCATCCCTAGCTGCAACTAATGATTATTTTAGACTTAGACTTCACTGATTCACAAGGTAAATTAATTGAACTGTAGCTCACACATTTTTTTTTTTTTTATAATTAAAGTAGCAAAGGCTCACGAGTGGACTAGTCAGCAATTCATTTTTTACTTAGTGTACTCCTTCTATTTCTATTGTACACTAAGTCTTTTAATTTACATTTTAACCAAATAAAGGTTTAAATATGGTTTAATTATTTCAGTTTAAAGTGTGTTACTGATAAAAATTTGAAATAGTTGATTCTTTTTTGACAGTTTGATTTTAATAATGCTTCCTTCTTTGTCATGTTAGTTATCAGTCAGTTAATAGGTGGATGGTGACTAATCATTATATTTGTATTTTATGAATAGATATGGGACATCTACATATTTATCTACATATAAATACTCCATTTCGTGGTGCATTTCTGTTTAAATGGTTCTTTTGTATAAAGGGATGATAAAGATAAGACTGAGCATCATCCAAGAACAGGTCTATACAAGCCAAGACACAACAATCAAGAGAATAACAAGCTAGGTTTATTATAAACAATAGACTCGAATGAGCACAAGGTCAGAGTGTTCTACATAGGATAACAGGATTACAGCGAGCAATCAAACTAGTTACAAAAACCAAGATGTAAGAATCAAGAGGTTGTGGTAACAATAGATATCTGATGTACCATTTATGAACAGTCTAAACTCAGTAAAAGATCACCGATGTAAAGATTTCCATCTTGTGAGTACAGTTTGGGTCAGATACACAGTGATACGTAATAGTTTACAGTAGTTTGTAGTAGAGAGCTTTGCTACACCCTTTTTTTTTGGTTTTCAGGACATGTCTTTACTCAACCAAGAACTTCTCTAATCATGTACAGCCTAATCTAATGTTTATAAAATGTGTTATTGATCACACTGTGGTTGTCCCTGTCTAGCTCCAGCTCCAGCAGCAGCTCTGGCTCCAGTTCAGGCTCCTCCAGTGGCTCTAGTTCCTCTGGTTCCAGTCATTCCGGCTCATCCTCCTCACGCTCCTCTTCCTCCTCCTCTTCGTCGTCCTCCCCGAGCACCAGCCGACAACGCCACAACAACAGACGACGCTCTCGTTCCAAGTATGTCTGTATGCTTTTATATTCACTACTGCTGCTACTTCACTTTAATGTTTCAGTGGTTTGAATTGTCACAACACATCCTTTTAGCAGGGAATATATCAGTGATCATATCAATATGGGTGATAACAGGGAGTTTATTTGCATATAACAGTATTGGAAAAACATGGCAATATTTGGATGCATTTTTACACAATCATAAAAAGTATAACAGATTATATTCTAGCCATGACAAAACAGTTTGCAGTCTTTTTCATCACTTACCTTTCCATTCCATTATGCATTCTGAGTATACGAATTATTCATTGCAAATCTATAAGCATTTTTCACAATTGTCAGAGGTCAGAGCAAAGTTCATAATGCTAACCATATTGCTAACAACAACTAGCATGCTAACAGCGAACAAGCTTTACTTCCTGGTTTGCCACTGATTAAAAACCCTTTATAATTAGGGGCAGACAGCACACAGCAGTCTCATTTTGACCCTAAGAGCTGTTTTTTTAAACAATATATCAGTAATGAGGAAATACAGATTGTACTTGCTTCTTTTACTCAACACTGTTCCCCTGAAAAAACAATTCCTGAATCTAAATAATTCACATCCGGTAAAAACTGAGTGTGTGCGTCCATTGGAAGTAGCTAGATGGCTACAGTAGAATGGCATTGCATTACATTTCATTACAGTGTCCACTAAAACAACTTCTCAGACAACTGTGGGGACAGAAACATATTATTTATCACTGTAACCACAGGTCCAAATCTGCAAAGAAAGATGAGAGGGAGAGGCGACGAAGAAGCCCCACTCCCAAACCCACCAAGCTGTCTCTTGGCAGACTGACCAGGAACGTAGTCAAGGTAACGCTGCTTATTTATTCATACATGAACAGTTGGTGTAGAAGATGTCTGCATTAAGCATTTGTCCTTGTTGTGTTTATCAGGAGCACATCCAAGAGATCTTCTCCACCTATGGTAAAATCAAGCACATCGAGATGCCCATGAACCGTCTGCACCCTCACCTGTCTAAGGGCTATGCCTATGTGGAGTTTGAGACGCCTGAGGAGGCAGAGAAGGCTCTCAAACACATGGATGGAGGTAACTACACATTATTGTTATTTATTGTTGTATATACTTTTGTGGTGAAGGGTGCATCACTCATCCATGGAAATTACTTTACCTTCAGTGTTCCACAGTATTGTATACATTTGTATATCTTCATGGATATATCAATGCTTAGTGTGCTTTATTCATTCTGACCTGAGTGGAAATAGAAACTTTATTTTTGAATTTAGGATTAAACTCATAGGATTAAAAACTGGCCACAACAGAAGTCCAACATTGGATACTGGCATTAACTGAAAAAACAAACAAACAAAAAAAAAAACGTTATTGTTCATATACTCGATATTTGTTTGAGTACATTGTACTGAGTGGTGGTAGCTTTATCATAGCATATTGATTTGCTTAGAGGAACCTTGCTCCTTCTTATGTACCAGTATAGCAATGATCAAGTCTAGATACCACAATTTAATAAGATTATGCCTCTGTTGTTCCCTATATGACACACCAGTACAGTACATGACTTGCTGTATAATGACTCTATTTGCAGGTCAGATTGATGGTCAGGAGATCACAGTCACTGCAGTCCTGACCCCAATCGTCCGCCCTCCCCCTCGCAGACTATCCCCCCTCCTCGCAGGCTCCCCCCTCCTCCCCCCATGTGGAGACGCACCCCACCCCGCATGAGGCGCAGGTACAGTACAGGATCAAGCTTAGCTGAGTGGTTCACAGACTTTTCCTTCTTGTGCCATTTTAGAATGTATTGAACATGCTAATTATGCTAATGCTTATGTTAAAACACATTCATTATTATTATTATATATATATATTAAATATTATATATTATTATATATAAGCAGAGCAAGCTCCCCATTTATCCGTCATTATCAGATATCAGATACAAACATAAAGAACCATTCTGGCAATAAATATGTAAAAGAAAAAAAATCTGAAAATGTATTTCTACATAAAAAATGTATATATATATATTTTTTTTTACTTGTAACTGTAATTTGTAAATTATCAGCACCCCTCTGCAAAATCAGTGCCTATGCCTTGTACAAGGCTTATGCCTTGTACTCTTTATTGACAATGTCTATTATATAAATTACCCCAGATATGTTAATGCTAATATTGTGTTTATTTCTATATAGGTCTCGGTCACCTCGGCGACGATCTCCAATTCGTCGCAGGTCTCGATCTCCCGGTCGCAGACGTCACCGGTCACGCTCCAGTTCAAACTCCTCCCGTTAGCCTGTATTTCAAATGTTTCTTAATATTTTATCCACATGAATCTCCCATTTATGACTTTCTGTATTATTTTATTAGTGTTGTGTGTTCAAGTCCAGTGTGACCAGTAGGTTGCATTCACTTGGCATCAGAAATTCTAGAATCCCTACAGTTTAAGATGGAGGTTGAGGACAGAAATCTATGGTGTAATCAACATCAAATTCTAGAAATCAAACGCAATCTATTTTCAGTGAAACAATCAAATTCAACTTTCAACAGTGTTTTTAAGAGTTTGTATGTATGTGTAAGTTTGAATGCTCAGAATTATTTAAAACTATGTGAAGTGTTGTAAAAGTAAAAGCTTATCTGATTTTAAATATCGCCCCGTGTAATGCTGTTTTATTTCTACTGTAAATAGTACATTACCCACGCACCATTGTACGTTTCTGACATGTCCCATTGAGTTACTTTTGGTGTTTTTAGTGTTACTGTAATTTCTGTTTTAAATATATGTGTTTTATAAAAACTTTCCAACTCTTGTGTAATACTGTATGATCCAACGTCTCTGTGAAATTGCTATTCACTGTACAATAAAGTTCTGTGAAATGTGGCTTTTGTTTGTCTCAAAAGTACCGAAAATTAGATGCAAATCGATACAAAAACTACTATCAGAATAAGACACTCATCTGAGCAGGTATCGATACTAAAAAAGTCACATTTACATGACAGAAATGAACCTTTCCTGAATAGCTTTAGAATGATCGTATACACCCATGGACCACTATGGAACCTACCTGAATGACTGCAGGATTACACAAATGTAAGGCCACATTGAAGAAAGTACTACAATTTAATGTTAAAATGGACATTCTACTGTCTAAATAGTGTTTTTTTGTTTTTATTATTGTGGTATCGGAATGGGTATTGAGTATCAAGTCTATTCCTTAGTAGTAAAATCAAATTGGAACATTTTAGTATCAATAGTTTCTATTGTATTTAAAAACAACAAACAATAATTTAATCTCCAATGTTTTTAATATATATATATAAAATATGTATTATCTTACAAAACATTGATCTTTACACTGCAACAGCCTGTTTTGTTTTAAATAAAAGTATTTACACACACTGCTCATATTGCTTTCATTGCAAGTTCTTACATTGAATTCTAATATGATGCAGCTAGGACTTGGTATTTTGTTCTGTTGGGTTAGAAGGAGGATCCATGAGGTCTTTAAATCCAAGTTTCTCTAGAGGCTCCTTCGTCATCAGCTGACTAGAAAACAAATATTGTTATGTCATATGTCATAATACAAGTCAGACACTAATATGTGGAAGCGGTAACTCTTACTGCTCCATTCTGCACTCCAGATACTCTTTGGACTGTAGTCTGCACAGGGAGTTGTCAAAGTTGTTTTCACTCAGGCACTTCATGAACTTGTCCTTGAATGCTTTGCATTCACCTGAAGTAAACACCACAAGTGTTAACATGTAAATGAATGTACAACTTGAATAATGAAAACACATCATGAAACGTTATATGTTTCAATAAACATCTAACCATTAACAAAGCATGTTAATGGATGTATGCTGAAGAGTGCGATGAAGAGTCTCTGGTTGCATTGTCGCATTTGATCTTAAATTTACCTTATCTTTAAGACTGGTTTAGTCCTAGTTTATTTGTCTCAACCCGGGTTATTCCTGTCTTAAACTTTTCATTCTTTTTAGCTGGTTTTGACCTGGTTCAGAACAGAATTAGAATTTAGTTTGACGTTTCACAACCTGGGGTATAGTACACAAGCACTTACAAAGGGGTACATGGATGATTTCAGATTTTGTTGGTGAATTGTAATTTTTATTTGAAACGTATTTGAATATGAAATTGTTCTTTCAAGTGCATTTTACATCCTTATGTTTATTTCTGATACTTTTGACATAACTTAGACAAGAAAATATAATATTATTGGCAATATACTTATTACTTACATCAGTCAGTTAGTTCTAATGTAGACAAAGTCCAGCTTTATCTCCGTATACAGAGATGCAGTAGACGAAGGCTTACAGAATTAAAAGTATACCCGATCAAGCACGGGGCGATTTTATAATAATGCCAATACGTTTTGTCCTCTTCCATTTTATTCTCAAGCAAGCACAGAAGTGTAATCTTACCAAAATGATCTAAAGGAAACGATCCTTTATCAGGGGCTCGAGGTTTGAAGCTTTTTGTGCTGAAATTCATAGCAGTAGACATGATTATTGGTGTGAAAAATGCCTTATTTTGTACTTTTTTGGCTCTATTCTATGACCTATCTTCAACCAGCAGCGTGAATCTGGTCGCATAAATATGACGCATTGTTTTGGTGATCCAGGCGTAAGCAGTCGGTAACAGATGACGACAGACTAAACAATCGATAACAGAAAAAAGCACACTATTTTGTGGGTATTTTGTTTCCCACTTATAAAAGGGTAATCAAAGTGAATGGAAGAATAAAATGGGGCATTTTGTAACAGACAATAAAATTAGTCAATAAATAATGCCATTATTTGTTGAAATTAAATATTGAAAGACAACCATGCACTTTTTTTTCATTCACAGTATTATTATTATTATTATTATTATTTGCTAATCCTATTAGCCTAATGTAAACAAAGCAAGAAAAGAAAACACACTTGTCATTAATTGATAGCAAATTAATTTTGTTGGTCAACCTGACAGCATAGAAAGAAAGATACCAATGTTATTACAATTACCCAAACCTTGTTAGCATAAGCCTGTCTGTACATCTTGAGCACTAATTACCTGACTCTGATGATTGATTCATAAAGAATTAAACAAACAAACAAACAAACAAACAAAAAAAAAAAGCCCAGTTGCAAGCGCTAAACCTCTTAAACTTGACATTTGTTTCATTTTCAGGTTTTGTTTTCAGGTAAATATTTTTATTTATTTTATTTATTTTTTCTCTTTAATTTATTATTTTTTTTTTTTGGCTCCGTTATGCTATATCCACATACAACTCTAAGCTTTCTGTTCATCAAGGCTGTCCAGGCTCTATTTCTTCTTTTGTAGGAAGGTTTACCAGAGAACTCCAGCAGTATCCATGATCCAACTGAATTACATTTCTTAATGAAAAATGCAATAACAAGCAAATTCAGATTACTCTACTCATCCATCCATCCATTTTCTTCCGCTTATCCGGGGACGGGTCGAGGGGGCAGCAGCCTAAGCAGGGACTCCCAGACTTCCCTCACCCCAGACACGTCCTCCAGCTCCTCCGGGGGAATCCCAAGACGTTCCCAGGCCAGCCGAGAGACATAGTCCCTCCAGTGTGTCCTGGGTCTTCCCCGAGGCCTCCTCCCGGTGGGACATGCCCGGAACACCTCCCGAGGGAGGCGCCCAGGAGGCATCCGGAACAGATGCCCGAGCCACCTCAGCTGGCTCCTCTCGACGTGGAGGAGCAGCGGCTCTACTCCGAGCTCTTCCCGTGTGACTGAGCTCCTCACCCTATCTCTAAGGGAGCGCCCAGCCACCCTGTGGAGGAAACTCATTTTGAGCGCTTGTATCCACGATCTCGTCCTTTCGGTCACTACCCAGAGCTCATGACCATAATGCTCAGTTAACCTAATGGAAACAGTTAGAGGTTTCTCTTTCCCAAAAAATTACAAGTTCCAGTAACCCTAAAAGTGTATCTATCAGTGAAGCTTCCCAGAATTAAATTTGAAATGTGTGTGTATTTATCATTCAGTATTCTTTATTAGTTTTGCTTTACTTTATTTTATTTTGTCTTATTTTATTTGATCATTTCTTTTTTAAAATCTTTGGTATGGACTTGACTGTCCGTTATGTGTTTATAATGTATTATACTGTATATATGTATTGTAATCAAAAAAGGAACTTCTGACTGAAGAAAACACTGACACTACACCCTACACGGTGGCCCAGTGGAAGTCAGAGCTCCTCCCCTTGTGTGAACACGGCCGCTTATTGGTGCAGCACTGAACCGCACGCGCTCCCGAACATAAAATGCGCCGCGCTCTGACTGCCGACAGTCGTTTTCTTATCACTGAGACGAAGCGAAATCATGAGCGGAAGAGGCAAAACCGGAGGAAAGGCGCGCGCTAAGGCGAAGTCTCGCTCTTCTCGGGCTGGACTGCAGTTCCCAGTGGGCCGTGTGCACAGGCTGCTCCGCAAAGGCAACTACGCAGAGCGCGTTGGCGCCGGAGCTCCCGTGTATCTGGCGGCCGTGCTGGAGTACCTGACCGCTGAGATCCTGGAGCTGGCGGGAAACGCAGCTCGCGACAACAAAAAGACCCGTATCATCCCCCGACACCTGCAGTTGGCCGTCCGCAATGACGAAGAGCTCAACAAACTGCTGGGAGGAGTGACCATCGCTCAGGGAGGCGTGCTGCCCAACATCCAGGCTGTGCTGCTGCCCAAGAAGACCGAGAAGGCCAAATAAAGCAATTTCGAGACCAGCTACTCAACAACGGCTCTTTTAAGAGCCACCCACTCTCATAATAAAGCGCTCACTTCTTTTAAAACTGGACTAGACTGATTACGTACCATAATGTTCTCAAAGAACGGGTTAAAACCACCCGTTCATAATGAACAGATCACTAAGTCCGTTACAGTTTTACCATTTCTTTCGGTGTGCGCGCGAGATTATGAACGGTTTACCGTGGTCTATTTGACCACAAAGAAACTATTTTAAGAAGCATTCTCTTTTCTTCAATGACTCCGCTTCAGATGTAATTAAAGATATGATTAAAGAGGCAATTAAGCACCGAAATACAGTGAGTGGATCCAATTCATGAGCTACTTGACGCTGTGAATATGATCAAGAAGTTCCCTTTAGACAGCAAGATTGATTGGAATAGAGGCTAAAAAAAAAAAAAAGGACGCTGCATGTACCGTGTGCGTGCGTAGACCTACGTCCTACTGCCTCTTCCGGCTGTGGAAGTGCCCCGCCCCCTCCTCCCAACTCCCGCTCAGTTTCACGCGCTCACTTCAAACACACGAGCTCCAATAGAAAGCGTTTTTGTTACGCCTCTTTGGGCGGCGCTGTGCGTCAGAGTATGACGCAGACCAATCACAGAGCCCGGTGCCGTGCGCGCTTGAGACTGACTGCTTAAAAACCGCTCGTTTGCCGCTTCTCGCCAGTTCCCCTTCTCTGTTCGCAGACAAGAAACTTGAAACATGGCTAGAACCAAGCAGACCGCCCGTAAATCCACCGGAGGCAAAGCTCCCAGGAAGCAGCTGGCCACAAAGGCTGCGCGTAAGAGCGCCCCGGCCACCGGAGGTGTCAAGAAACCTCACCGCTACAGGCCCGGTACCGTGGCTCTGAGAGAGATCCGTCGTTACCAGAAGTCCACCGAGCTGCTGATCCGCAAACTGCCCTTCCAGCGCCTGGTCAGGGAGATCGCCCAGGACTTCAAGACCGACCTGCGCTTCCAGAGCTCCGCCGTCATGGCTCTGCAGGAGGCCAGCGAGGCCTACCTGGTGGGTCTGTTCGAGGACACCAACCTGTGCGCCATCCACGCCAAGAGGGTCACCATCATGCCCAAAGACATCCAGCTGGCCCGCCGCATCCGCGGAGAGAGGGCTTAAAGCGTCTGCTTTAACTCACTAAAACAACGGCTCTTTTAAGAGCCACCACACGTGGGGAAGAGCAGCTTTTCTACTTTTGTGTCAGGGCACGACGAACAAAACTACTACAATATTGCTTCTGTTGAGCATATTTTTGGCAACGTTGCACGAGGCATTACAATCTTACTTCACTTTTCTTCTGACTTCCTCTCAAGTCCCATACAAGAGACTCCAACACCAATCCACTCCTGAAGCGTTTGCGTGACAAAACCGCTCAAGGCCTTCCATTTGGCTGGTGCACCTTTTCTTACCACATTATTTGGAGGAAGGTCAAAGTGGAACATAATAGCTGCTCTTTTATAAAAAGAACAATTTTAGATTTGTGTTTAATGTAGGCCTACAAGCCACGGTCTATAGTAGCTCTGCACAGCCCATATTTTCAAAATTACCTGTAAACATTTCAGCACCTTGGAGAGCGGCTTCCCCTAACGCTGAGTGATAACAGGATTATGACTCCATCATCCTGACTGAACATGTAGGATGGACTCCTTCACATTGAATCTCCGAGAGGTGCAGATGTGGGAATACAAATACGTGACTATTATTTAAAACACTGTTTTCCTCTGCTTGAGTTCTGTGGATTTGTGAAACAAACATTCAAGAGTATGATCAATAAAACTGATGGATGACAGTTTTTGATGATGTCATGTATTTGTAAGTGTGGGAAGTGTAATTGTACTAGTGTAAAAAATGTTTTCATTTGGGGTGAAAGGCTGCAGTAAAGTCCACATGTATATTAGGTTGTACACATGTGTAAATTAGGCTGTACTAAACACGTGTATTTGACCCTCGCTTTGCTCCTGCACAGACGTCACTGCGTCACTGTTCTCCTGTGTGCTTATGTATACACTTCACACATGGTGAAGGACTTTGGCCTCAACTCTGTCACTTTCAACATAGAAGCATTTATGGGAACATAGTTGCCAAAACGTACTGTTGCTGAGCAACCACAATCTAACAGCAAACGATCTGACACATGAATTGGTCTTCCAATATTATTTCCAAAATAATGTGTATGTGTAAGCAGCACACTGGTCTGTTAAAAAACACTTTTATTTATCGAAAAAAATGAATAGTAGTAGTGTGTATAAGCAATAGGCTATGTGTGCGTTTGTGTGTTTGCAGCAGTGGCTAAAATCGCGCAGAAAGTCCCGTTCCACTTAGAGCACACAAACTTTTATATGTGTGTTACTGACACACGTGTGTGTGAACGCGAGGGTTGTGTTCAGTCGTGAAGTCATCAAGAAATGTCAGCGGTTCAGAGGGAAAAAGAGAGCGCGTCCTCCTCCAGAACGCGCGTCTGAGCGGCTTTGGATTGTTCTAGAAACCAGACGCGCTCCACGCTGAACTTCTATTGGACTTTATTCTACGGTCAACGTGTCGCCGTGTCTCCCACCGTGTCTGTCTGTCCTGACCAGTGCGTGCACCTTTGTTTTGGGCACTTTTCCTGACGCGCAGAAAGCACAGGCGCGTCTCCCGCTGACGCGCGCAGCAGACTGAGCCCGTGTTGAGTCTCTACGGTTCTCACGGCGTGTTTAAGTGCGCGCGTGCTCCCGCACTCTCCACTCTCTCACTGTGTTAGTGACTCTCGAACAATGGTAGAAGAAGCTCCCGCTCCCGCCCCGGCTCCGGCCAAAGCCGCCAAAAAGAAGGCCACCAAGCCCAAGAAGAGCGGCCCCAGCGTCGGCGAGCTCATCGTCAAAACCGTGTCCGCCTCCAAGGAGCGCAACGGCGTGTCCCTGCCCGCGCTCAAGAAGGCTCTGTCCGCCGCCGGGATACGATGCGGAAAAGAACAAGGCCCGGGTCAGGCTCGCCGTCAAGAAGCTGGTGGAGAAGGGCACTCTGGTCCAGAAGAAGGGCTCCTACAAGATGAGCAAGAAGACCGAGGAGAAGAAGGCCAAGAAGCCCGCCAAGAAAGCCGCTCCTAAAGCCAAGAAGCCCGTCGCCAAGAAACCAGCCACCGCCAAGAAACCCAAGGCGGCCAAGAAGAGCGCCACCCCCAAGAAGGCGGCCAAGAAGTCCCCGAAGAAGGCAGCCAAGCCCGCGGCTAAGAAAGCGGCCAAGAGCCCTAAGAAGCCGGCCAAGAGCCCCAAGAAGGCAGTGAAGAAGGCGCCCGCAGCCAAGAAAGCGGCCCCCAAGAAAGCCGCCAAGCCCAAAGCCAAGAAGGCAGCGGCCCCCAAGAAGAAGTAAAGTCACCGCTCACAAACTTTAACAACACAACGGCTCTTTTCAGAGCCCCCACTTTTACAAAAGAGACTCTTTTATTCAATCTACCCATCATTACAAAACTTTCTTGTAACTACAGGGAAATGTGCTGGGAAGGAATTGACATAATACATAACGTTATCATAAGGACTAAAATCTAAATCAAACAATGTTCCCAGTCCGTTTGTGTCACAAAACACAATGTTGCAACATTCATTAACAGTAGCGACGACCATCAAGACAAACGTGTCAAACAAGAACAGTTCGGCAGTTTACCAACACAAAGAGAAGAGCCTCTAACAAGCACGAACACACACTTGACTTCACTCACTCATCTCTCCAACAGCAAAAGTGAAACTTTAAAATACGATATTTAGATTTCATATATTTGATGAATACAAAACAGGGGAAAATGGCGGGAAAGTGTGAGTTGACGTTATCTTTTATTTCATCGTATCCTACCAAGTTTTTTTCAATGCACATGCTGTCCGCATGGTGGTGCTAGAGAGTATGTTTTCTGTCACGTCCTCTGCCAGTGAATAAACACCGTGTGCTCGGAGTCTTTACTCATCTTGTGAATCGTCACACAGAAGCAGTCATGTCTGGCAGAGGAAAGGGAGGCAAAGGTCTGGGGAAAGGAGGCGCTAAGCGTCACCGTAAAGTTCTCCGTGATAACATCCAGGGCATCACCAAGCCCGCTATCCGCCGTCTGGCTCGCCGTGGCGGTGTCAAGCGTATCTCCGGTCTGATCTACGAGGAGACTCGCGGTGTGCTCAAGGTTTTCCTGGAGAACGTTATCCGTGATGCCGTCACCTACACCGAACACGCCAAGAGGAAGACCGTGACCGCCATGGACGTGGTGTACGCCCTGAAGAGACAGGGCCGCACTCTGTACGGCTTCGGAGGTTAAACTCTTCTTCTGGTTACAACACAACGGCCCTTTTCAGGGCCACACACCGCAACAAAGAGCTTCTGTTCTGTGTGTTCCTGTATTAACGGCATATTATTACTAGTCATTAATACAGTAAGACCACGAGTTAATTTAGTTACCTTAGGCTTATTAGGAACTCTAGAGGCCGCCCCATTACTAACAACGCAGTTCTGCGAACCCCTGCCCTGCGTGAATTATCCTGAAATAAACTATTAGCCCGCGTTTATCCCGGAAAAAACAAACGGCCACGTGTGGAATACTCATCTGGAAATACGCGCTTTTTGGTGCTTGGAGAGCTGCTTCGCACTCCTTTTTTTGTGTGTGTGTGATGTCACTTTTGGGAAGTAACTGAGTAGGCCTACCGAAAATACCTACAGAATACAGTAACTTCTCTAAAATCAAGGGCACTTGCGGTACTTTGATCACGTATTTTAGGCTGCAAACGCCATAATATTAATGTGGAAAAATAGAAATTAACACCGCTCTTATGATGAACGCAACTGATATTTCTACTTCTCTACTCGGTAACAGCCTACATGAGTGCATTACAAACAGTGAATCAACAATTCAACAGTTTTAAACTTCTTTCTACATTATAATATAACAGAACTCAATGTGAAAGTATTCCAAGTGTGCATACACAGCACTCTGATATGGACATCTAACAGAATACATTACAAAGTACATTTGAATGCAGGTAGTCAGTATTATGTAACTAAATCCTTTTTTTTTTTTTTTTTTTTTTCCCCAAAGTATTCTTCCGATCTCGGTGTGATCTTGACACATTTACAGGTAAGTCTGGTGTCAGTACGCGCCAAAACTGGACACCTCAGACCATCATAAGAAAGTCACTCTTATTTATGATTGACAATAAAGAGTAAAGACAAGTGACTCTAATCTAGACTAAGGTGGGAAATGGGGGAAGGGGGAATTTCTTTTGTCCGTTTCCCTCCTAAAATCACTAAAGAGCACACAGCCCCCTCCCATAAGTCCCCTGCACGTTGAGCGCGCGCACAGACTCCACCAATCAGAACGCAACGAGACCCGGATAAAAGCAGCGGCCGCGCTCCTATCCCCTCAGTGTCCGCTGATCCCGATCAGAAACATGCCTGAACCCGCCAAGTCCGCGCCCAAGAAGGGCTCCAAGAAAGCCGTGACCAAGACCGCCGGCAAAGGCGGCAAGAAGAAGAGAAAGACCAGGAAGGAGAGCTACGCCATCTTACGTGTACAAGGTGCTTAAAGCAGGTGCACCCCGACACCGGCATCTCCTCCAAGGCCATGAGCATCATGAACTCTTTCGTCAACGACATCTTTGAGCGCATCGGCGGAGAGGCCTCCCGCCTGGCGCACTACAACAAGCGCTCCACCATCACCTCCAGGGAGATCCAGACCGCCGTGCGTCTCCTGCTGCCCGGAGAGCTGGCTAAGCACGCCGTGTCCGAGGGCACCAAGGCTGTCACCAAGTACACCAGCTCCAAGTAAACTGCTCCATCGAAGTATACACCCCAACGGCTCTTTTAAGAGCCACCCACTTCACTAAAAGAGCTGCTCTCTACTTGTATGTGCTCATAACCTTCACTAGTGCTGTGCGTTTATGGACTTGTTTGCAGGGTAGGTAGGCGAAGGTAATGACGCGCTTCGTTTCACTTCTTGCCGTTCGGTTGACAGCACGACACGTCTCTTCTAGCGCGCAGACACCAACAAACTCATGTAGCAGCCGCTAATCTTGTAATTTGAACATTGATAAGGTGCCTATGGAATAAAAACTACCTCCAGCCATCCACCGCATGTAGAAGTAGCAGTATGCACTTCTACTGTTAACTTAAAAAACTAGGTATTTTAAACAATGCCAAACGAACATACACAGTACAAAAAATGTTTAATCTGTCTGGGGGGTGTGTCTTTGTTTTGATATAAATTTCAAGATGACACAGTATAAACTTGATCATAGTTTAAAGGTTGGCCTACATAATCTCCAGGCCTAAACTCTGAGCTGGATTTTTAGATCTTTTGTTGTGACTTTATATGAATTTAATCTGCGTTAATGTTACTACCTGGTTTTGCCTGTTGTTCAAAGTGCACTTCCAAAAGGGTTCTCTTTAAAGGCTACAAAATTTCCAGGCCTACATGAGACAGAACCTGCATATGAGGACACTTTCTGATTTACTGTAAACAGAAAATTATTCCACAATGTCACAAATGTTCATCATTTGGATAAAAAGAACAAACAGAAAGTTATTCTCAACGAAGGCTCTTCTGACCTGTTGTTTTTAATAGAAGAAACTAAAGAACTGCAACATCTCATTCAGAAAGAAACTGCTATCATAAAAGATGATTTGGCTAAAAGCTTCACAGAACAACAAGCTGCATTTGAAACTGACTTTAAAAAAAGGCTTTTGGACAAATTACACAGGGAGCCTAAACAAGATAAAATATTCAAATTAAAAAGTAGCCAAACAGACTATGATGAAGACAATGCATATGGTGGTAAATATGGAAGAGTATGATTCTGCACTTCAAGCACCACACAGAGCACACACACCAAGGCCCACTCCACAAAAGCACAATTTAAACCCACATCCTTCTTTATGTCAAACATTATCAAACAACAAGAACACATCATTTAACATGGATAAGACTGAAAAAGAGGCAAACAAACAACCTTTTCAAAGAGGCAAGAGAATGGTTGCCTAAGAATGAGAAAATAGTCATCAAAAGTGCAGATGGTTGTCTAGAGTCAGGACCAGTACATCACAGAGGCTACTCATCAGTTAAATAACCGTGAGTACTGTGAACTTTGGTTTATAGGACTGGAAGTTAAAAGAAGCCAGAACTCCAGAAGATGGTCATTTATGCCAAAGCACACTACTGGAACACAGACAATGAACTTCAGTTTCTCAAAATCCACATATTCCCTCTTGTTATGTTTTATGTTACCAAAAATCCACAAAAGCCTGACCAGCTCACCCAGAAGACCTATATTCATGAGTCATTTACAGAGCCAGCATTTAGATGTCTCTTTGAAAACATGTATTTTCTCTTTTCTTCAAGATTGTACAGAAATATTGAATGAAACTGTTACTCCCACCTGCATGCATGCGGCCTACATGCTCAATACATTGGGTGTGTTTAAGATGCCCAAATCCTCACCTAGATCGTCCATGAAAGCAGGCGGCTGCAGCCACGGGGAGGACAAAAAGGCTGAAGGACAGTCCACGAGCCTGAGAACAGCCAAGTACTCACTCTGTGACATGACCTGGTGACACAACAGATCTTGTGTTCATCAAGTTTAAGTGTTGCACCAAATAAAGCTACATCAAACTTTGTGAATACATTCTCCTGTTTCACCACAGACTCATCACCACATCACCAGAGCAAAAAACACAAAGCTCGCTATAATGTTTACATGCTTAGGTCTTAGCTCATCAAGACCATCAATCAATCAGTTAGGCCCTTTTCTGTCTCATCTCAAGCATCTGTGTTGATATAAAAACAGATGGTAAATTATATATGTTTTGTTTAGTTTTTTGTACAGGAACAGTGCACAACAATGCATTAACCAAGACAAACGTTATAGCCATATCGTTGGACGTATCAGGTCCAGTCAGCTGTCAGTCAGCTGTGAGTGCATTTCCCATGATACTTTGGGCTTTGCAGTCCTTGAAGGTGAATGAAAGCAGTTGCACTTTTTTTGTAATCACCCACCTTGCAGGCTCCTGCAGTCCAAGCCTACGTAGCAGTGTCGGGTGTAGGGTGGTTCACCTGCTGCTGCATTCATCGCCTTGCTCATCTTAAACACACGTGTAAAACTACAAAACCATTTCAATCCACCGATCGCAGTTCTGACCACAAAAAACTTTAGAAACTTTGAAATCTGTTGCTGTGGATATTTGCATTTCCATGTATAATTAAGGCTCAGGATGAAACGTGCGATATGATCAAGCCCCTAAACATGGCACCTTACTCAAGTTTTAAACGATGAAAAACTGAACTAGCAATAAAAGGATCTGCCTATTTGGACCTTAAATGTAGCTAATTTCTTTTTCTTTTCAACATTCAACTGAACCAGCAATATTGCAACAATAGTCAAGAAAATTAATTACAAAAAGATTAGAAATTATACAAAACATGTTGTAACATTTCAAACAAGATAGGTGTGCCTGCGGAGAGCAGCAGATCAGGAGCAGCATTCAGTCTGTTTCTGTGCTTTATCTTCATTTTCGTGAGCACATAAAACCTCATGTGTCAGAACTGTATATTGCAGCTGTACATTCAGATCCGGACAAGGCGACCCCTGAGGACTGCGACCGAGTCTTTGGTAAACAATGCTCTAGAACCTACACAAAGAAATCTGAACAACACCTAGGGTCGTTTAGCTGGAGTCTGAACCAGGTTCTCTCAAAAACGATTATATCCCATCTGCCCTTCACATATGTATGAGAACAACAACCATGATGAACTTTAAAGCCAGCTCAGGCCCGGTGGCAGTAGCCTAATAATAAATGTTCTCTCTTAAAAAAAAGTGACGTTTATTGGCTCACAGCCATACTCTCATCTGATTGGACACCTAAACTAACGCTCTTCCTAGCCAATCAGTAGTGAGCAGGGCTGCTTTATATCCGCCTGTGCGCTCTTAGAGGAACCAGTTTTCTTCAGTTGAAAATCGATTTCGTAACATTCTAGCAACATGTCTGGACGTGGAAAAGGCGCCGGTAAAGCTAGAGCCAAGGCTAAGAGCCGCTCTTCCAGAGCCGGACTGCAGTTCCCAGTGGGCCGTGTGCACAGGCTGCTCCGCAAAGGCAACTATGCAGAGCGCGTTGGCGCCGGAGCTCCCGTGTATCTGGCGGCCGTGCTGGAGTACCTGACCGCTGAGATCCTGGAGCTGGCGGGAAACGCAGCTCGCGACAACAAAAAAACCCGTATCATCCCCCGACACCTGCAGCTGGCCGTCCGCAATGACGAAGAGCTCAACAAACTGC